AAGCGCGTTATAATGGCGCCGGCGTATTTTACTGGCACCTAATCCCGCTGACATACCACGTGCCGACGCGTGGTGGTGTCACGCCGCTTCCGGAAATCTCGCGATTATTCCCTCTTTCTGCCGTTTGTCTCGGCATCGCGAGACGCACGAATAATTGCGTTTGGGGCGTGAATAAACGGAACGATCGCCGGTAAGATCTACGAAGGTGTCCCGTCCGACAGGCTAAAGAACCCATTTCCCAGCCGACTGGCCGAGAAAGAGAGAGTAATTATTATCACGCGAAAGGATAAGGAGGAGTTTGCTGGACTAACTTCCGCTGTGATAATTTATACTTGCCACGATTCGCTATAGGACGATTGCAGCGGGTGGTTGGCGCGGCCAACAGAAAGGAAATGGAAAAGAAGAAGGACTGTTGTGTAAAGCTGAAGAAAGAACAAAACAGATAGTGAGATGGCACAACTCTTATAAGTTCCCATTTACATAAAATTTTCTATTTATTTCGTTTACGGCAAATACTAGCTGAGAATCGATGCAAAGAAAACTTTAGAAATCTAAAAAAAGAGACTTTTCGTTCCAATCAGTAATGTTGATTCGAAAGATCAATGCCAATAACGGTGAAGAAAATTGAGTGAAAAGCCGCGACTGTTTGCGATTCTGGGCTCATCGTAGAGAATTTTACGATCGAGCAGCGTATCCCACAATCGCGATCAACGGAATAACGTAAACTCGCTTTGCGATACCGCGTTACGATCGTTCCCGCGGGATCGGAGGAGAGCTCCTGGCGACGAAGCGACGCGACGCGACGCTACTCGAAGCGATGCAGTGGGATAGGTGACTCGATCGTGGCCAATCTCGTTCGCTTAAATTACGACCAGCTCGTAATCACCTACTGACTTTTATCATCCACGTAATAAACAAACCGCAATCGTAAAAGCCAACCGTAAAATTCTCTCGAAGGATAGACCCCGAGAAAAAAAGGGGAGAAAAAAAGGGGGGGAAAAAAAGAAAAAGAGAAAAAAAGCGCGCGGTTAAATACGCAGACCTCGTGCAGAAAAGTCGTAAAAACGATGCAATGAGTCACCCTTTTTCCCTTCTCTTACGAGGATCTCGATCGTATAAGAACTCTTCGATCGCGAGCGATGGTCAACCACGACGGTTTTCGCGTTTTAGCGACGCATGGTCGCGAATTACGATCGCAGCAGCAATCGGAGGCTAAGGACGGAATTCAGGGGGAGGAGAATGTATATTGCATAATTGCATAAAGTGCGTAACGCTGTTCGGATCGTGCAGAGCGGTGCGGGGAAGTTGTGCGTCTGCCGGGAGATGCTCGGTGTATTATTTTACCTGATGACGGATCGTTCAGCGCGGATACCCATGTCGCGACGCAGAACACCGGGATCGCGAGAACGGGGAGCATGTTGCTACGTCGACGACGCGGCTACGTCAACTGAGGAGTAAACGCCGGGCGTCGCGACGCTTACCGCTGCGACGCGGTTCCGCTTTGCCGCCAACCACGCGGGCGCCTGCGTGCTACATCGTGCCGTGCACATACATGCGTCCGCGACTTACGCGGCTCGTCATCCGGGGGTGCTACGAGGAGACGCGAAGATATCTCTGTTTACTATCGAGCACGCATTCAAAGTGAAAGCGCGACGAAGCGCAAACGCGATGCAATTGCGTTTTACGCATACACTTGTTCGGCGAAGGGGAGAATTGTACGTGCAGTCATATACACGGGATCCATCGAACGCAAGAAGCATGATCTCGTTATTATTTTCTTCAAAAACTTTGGAAGGTATTGAGACTTTCTCAAATCAGAAACATCGGCATATCTTTTTCTGAAATATACATGCATATTGAGAATATTTTTATTATCGTAATCTAAAAATTTCGAAAAGATTTGTTCACGCATTTCAAAGCGACACAGTTGAGCCTCTTGTTTTCAGAAGACAAATTAATTGACGAACTAATAAAATAAAAGATAGAAACATTTCGTATAAACATATATTCTATATCAGTTGATTCTTACGAGACTGTTTCATAGAAAAAATTTAAACGATCTTTTTAAATAAAATTATTTAAATACTTAATATTAGTTCAAATACTTAATATTAGTTTATTTAAATACTTAAAATTAATTCTAAATGCAGCTAGAGTTAAAATTTTATTTGTCTCTCTACCGTTTTTTCCTTATAAATTAAGAATTAATAAATTATCTCTCTTTTTTTACAAAATAGATTTTTTAACTATTAATAAATTAATTAAGACTATTAGTTTGTGATTAATATCAAATTTATTTTTTTCTAATTTGTATAAAGACATACTTAAGGAACAAAACTTGTCTAATTTTAAATCTACTCTGATTAACGAAGAAGCCTATCAAAAAAGCTGAGAAAAAGCGAGTTTGCAGGTAATTACTTTTGCCTTGTAATCATTCTAACGATCTTATTTCGTTCTGCATCTGCTTCTTATTTAGTACAGATGAATTTTAAAACATTTTAAATATAAATAAATTCATTCCATGTCAGATTTTAATTATCGCTTTCAATACGTTTATTAAATTTTAATTAATTAAGAACCTTCAGGTACATTTGTATATTTCAGAATTATGAAGTATTACCATTTTCACCGGATGTATATATATCCTCTATTTTTAATTACCAATGACCGTTGACAGTTATTGGAAAACCGACAAATGAGCTATTTCTGTTAGCCTAGTGATAGCGACTTTTAACTTCAAACATTCAACAGACTGTGTTTGAAATAGGTCTATCATTTAAGGGAGAATGAGAGAATTCTCTGTGAATACCTAAGAGAAAAGTTAAATAAAGCCGACGATAATTATTTATCAAATGGTAGAAGTCTTCATTTAAAAGATACTTCAAAGGATACAGTTATTTGAATTTAAATAATAAATTTATATATCTCATTTTTATCATCAATATAAACGATAATTTCAAATAAAAGAACAACATTTTTATTATTCGGAATTGCGATGCGTCACACGAGGCAATGCTGAATCAGTTTTATTTTTTGTTTAAAATTACAATTTATATTAATAATACACAGATGTTAATAATCGTAGTTTAAAGTCAAATATTTTTTACATAAAGACTTATTATTGATAAATAATCAGTTTTATTTAACTTTCGCTTACATTTGTAATTCCTTCTCTACATAAACTTATCGAAAACATATAATGATATTCATTCAAAAGAGCATATGTGTTTACGTGTTACAGTACATCATTAAACGTATATCAGATTGTCACTGAAAAATAAGAGGTTATCACTACTTTAATGTTCTGCAATAATATTTCATATCATTTGCGTATTCCATGTTTGCAATTTCTCGGGATGTTATCTACGGCGAATTAAGAAATCGTTAGAAAACTCCGAATGTACTATCAAAAAGACTACAAAGCAACGATTGATGACGTACAAAGCAGTTTATCGGCGCACTGTTACGGAAAACAATCATTTGTTTTCGCTGCTTCTCGTAACTTTCTACGCTTCGGTGCATCAGCGAATTGTTCACTTTACCACCCGTAGCGTGATCGTACGCAATATTGCTTTTTTTTCATGTCCATATAGTTTTTTTGTCACCATTTTTGCCGGGTCGGTTCGCGATGCACGCTCATGCAGCAAAAATCTCCTCACGGAGTTCCCATACGTTCGATCGTGGCAGAAAATTTTTGTTTTTGCATGATTGTATGTAGCTGCAAGTTCCGATACACGCGATAGTATTTTATCTACACGAGAAATGGATCAACAAGCGCTAAATAGTAAATAAACATCGAAATCGGGCAGGACACCTTGCGGCATGGAGAGCGTAGCAGTGCAATCCCTATCAACGATTTATCCCTCGAAGAATCACGATGGAAGTGGCTCGCGTGATAATTCATGCTCGCCGCGGATACTATTTCGAGCACGCGTGCCACTTGATGGAATCGCACCTCCTACGTACAATTGTTTTCGCTTATTACATGCATGCGATTCCCGTAGGTACGGATCTGGCGAGAACGCTCCGAGAAACTCTTTCTTCTGTTTCTCTCGAACGTGGCTTGAGAAAATATGTCATTCGTGAGTCTAACAAGATTGAAATTTTCAATTTGATGTTGCGCGAGTACTCGATGGGAATTTCATCCATAACGTAATTTGCGCGCAGTAATTTTCGCATGGAAAAAGTCATTTTACGGACGCGCGTAGGACGAAAGAATAATTAATGTACATACATATATATATATATATACATAATAAAGTATATATGTATGTATATTCTTTCTTATAACGTCATCATTCAAAATATTTGGATGTTTATATTAAGAATCCTCGATATCCGGGATATCGAGATTCTTTAAAGTAAACATTTATAAGCTGCGTCACTTTATCACTACGTGTCGACTTTATATCAAAGATGAAGAGCTAATCAATTCTTCTGACAGAGACATGCGATATAAGAACGTGCGACCGAGTTACTTTGCGTGCGTCAGTGATTTCATTGTAAAAGCAACTTTATGCCTTCATGAACTTGGCACCGCGTGCTACGACTTGTGAAACACGCCATATCATCATTAATGCTCCATAACGTAATGCATTATTTTATTCTCATGATCGCGTTGATTCGTCACTTCAGAACGAATAGTCAGTACAATCTGAAGTTTACAAAAGTACTTTGCTAAAATATCCTTCCCCATTGTTTACAAGACTATATTTGCTTTGCTTTCATTTATAACGCGTCATGTCTGAAATATCGCAATTTGATCACGTTCCGCAAACTGTCATGAGAAGTATCGCCACGTATTCTGAATGAAAGTGTTAAAAATCTATATCGTAAATCATCTAAATTTCAATAAATTTAAATAATTTGCGACTTGATTATATTTTCCCTGACAGCGGGATATACATGTGCTCAATCATTTGAGTGTTATCGCAATGGTATTCTGATTTCCGGAAAACCAGGTTGCAATGAGTGTGACCGAACTCATTCCGGCGCAATTGTCGCGTGCACCCTTGTACTAGGTACTCCATCGCGGCTAGATACTCCATGCCGGGCAGATGGAAGCGGATATATTTGCACCAATCGTCGAGGCAGCAACGATCGATGCGGAACGGCCGAGGATCGATTTCAATTTAGCGACCGTTTAAGCGTGCACGCTCGCGGCTAACGAGCTTTCGAAAGTCGTAGATATCCGACAAGTTGGCCTACGGGGGCAGTCCCGCCGCGGCTCACAACCACCCGGCAGAAACTTACCGCAGTCAGGCGGCGTAAGTACCTGCGAGCATACAGGTAACATGACACCGTTAACTCCCTTAACACCGTACTTGTACCGTACAGATATTACACAGGCTCACGGACACGCGCGCGGTTTCGCCTGGCGGACGTTTATGTGGCGTCCAGGATCGTAGTGGTAGGCATTGTTAACGTCTGAAAAGGATAAGAATGGCGCGAGCGATGGAAGCGGGCTGACGGACTGTTTTATTGCTTTTCCAGCGGAGCTTTTGCAATGGAGGAGTCAGTGGCGTGTGGTTCCCATTGTAGAGATTAGAGAGATCAGCATATCCACCTGAGAAACGGATTTACATTCGGCAACTAGATTTACACATTACGCTTTCTTTCTGCGAATCACTTTCGTGCAAAAGAAAGTTTCTTTTTTTATATTGTATTTCTTGAAGGATCGATGTCACTGTAATAGAATGTAAGTACAGAAGCGGATTAGATATCGTCGTTTCCAATTATTTGTAAAGAGAATTGTTTTAAGAATATATGAAAATATTGAGTTCCGATTAATCGAATTATTTGTTATAATGAAATTAGAGTATAGTTTGCACGATAAAAAATAATAGTGTGTAAAATCTTTATTACTTCTGAACAAAATTATAATTTTTGTTTGTTATATTGAGTTAGTCTCGAATACATTTAATTAATTATTGTGGTTTTCTGGATCATAAAGACTTCTATTAAAATGTACTCACAAAAGATTGTCAAAGACTTTCTTATAACATAGATTTTGTAAGAACGTCTTTAATTAATTTCTCCCAGTTAAAGAAAATTTTCATAAACAGTCTACAAAGGACTGCAACAACGGGATCTTTGTTTCTTTCTCTTTCGAGGCATTTTAATAAGCATGTTTTCATTATAATATTTGTATAACATAAAAAATTGGGATCAATAAATAACGTGCACCTGTTAGAAAACCATTTCATTTATTTACGTATAATATCTCTTTTCAGACAGTATAGAACAATTTAAAAATATCGTTGTACAGGCACGCGTTTTTGGACGCTACAGTATGCGCGAGCAAAGCTGCAGTTTCGAGACTTTAAATCGGAGTTCAAAGTACAATCACATCCTGTTATAATTTTACCCTGCTCAAGTTGAGCATAACAAATACAATTACGCACTAGATCGCATTAGAAGTAATGTGCGTAACGTTATGAATTCTCGTAAATATTTATCAATCAGATCATTGGACTCTCGTCATTCATGACGCTGGTGAGATAATCGTAACTGTTGTGCAATAAAATGAAACAAACATTTCGCCGTGACAAAATAAAATATATTCGAGGAAATAAATTTTATCGATCGTATATCTCGCGATTATTTATAAAACTATAAAATATATTAGAAACGCAGAACAGTATGCATAACAAAATTTGATAAATTGAATATTTATCTAAATTCCTCGTATTACTCTAAAAAGAATTGTGAGATTATTTTCCATAGAAAAGATTCAACATGAAATAAAATATTGCTTACGGTAGATTGATTTGTTTGTCGTCGCATACGGCCAATTGATAATACATTGTTATGCATTACGTATAGTAGAAAGAAGCATGTACAAATGTGTGGATTACATTTGCAGACAAATTTCGTTACCTTTTCATTCTTTCTTTGTTCTGCTTTCTCGGATTTCCGTTCCTATCTTTTTTGAGACTGTGCATCGAACTGAAAACTCTGTTATGCAATTCGTTTACGGAAAAGAACAATAGCATGCGGAATATTAACGCACCACCGAGTAACGGCTAACCAGAAATACATAACATTCGTCACAAACGCGTACCGGTCTCGCTGAGTTTGGCAAGACTGTAGTATTGTCACTGCATGCGTTACAGAAAATGTTCCCGCAATTGCGACAATGGTGCTGCAACAGAAATAATATCAAACACTTACTGTTAGTTCATATTAATGGTTAATGTTATCGATAGAAAAAAGGTTATTGTGTTATTTATATAAAGCTGATATTATAAAATATTAATATATTTATATAATATATTAATATATTTATATTGTAGTACAAAAATTAATATTTTGACAAAAATTAATATTTGTTCATTTATAATGCAACATATTTACATATCAAACTTATAAATATAAAAATAGAAATATAAAATCATATTCCTTTCATTTTATGTTCAAATAAATAATATAAATATCTAGGTATTTCTATATATTCACTTGTATGTAAAAATATCGGTATTTATATCTTTTTTAAATTTGAGTAATGAAATTATGTAATAAATAATTGACATCAGTTATAATAATACGTAATCAGTTGACATCAATTATAATAATATGTATCAGTTATAATAATAAGAGTATTAGTACAGCAAAATATAAATATTAATTTACATTTGTACTTATATTAAAAACGGTACTATGGATTTTATATTCGTTCTAATAATGGAGTTACATTTGTAACATATATAAAATTTCATATTTTAAGATCTAAAAAATAAATATTCTACAATATATTCAAATTTTATTAAGTTTACAATTAATATTGCAACTTTACTTGAGAAGCACTAATTGATAAAACGATGGACTGACGTTTAACTTCAACTATTGAGTTTAACTAATTTCACTCCAGATGAAAATCGACAATAATTCATAAGATATCTCGACTGTCTCCGGGCAATGTAAATATAGTACGTTTTAAATCTCGTAGTTACAGTTTAGGATTTCAACCGAAACGTCCAAACCAATCATAACTTCGCGGCGTATAATGGCGATGAGTTTGCCCGCCTCAGGTCTACACGCTGAAAAGTAAAAAGCTCTGTAGCGTAGTTCGCAGTTACGGATTACGTGTGCTCGTTACGTTCGGGTCAAAAAAAGTGCATGCCCGTACCTGAAGCTGGCACGCGGACAACGGCTGGAGCTTTTTGTACTCGGCACCAGGGATACTATTGTCCGCGCGTCAACTTCAGGTAAGAGAGCGCTTAATACTTTTTTGCGGTGTTTCTTGCACAGGTCATTTCCATGTGAGAGTCGTTAGATTGTTAAAGTATAGACGGACTGGTATGGAACAGGACTGACTGCCAAAGCTGTTGAAAGTGACAAACGAGAAACAGTGTAGAGAAGGACAGATAGATGAAACAAATTCGTGTTAATCGCATCGATTATGCAGAATTATCGATTATGTCTCAATCGCATTTATCTTTTTATAGTCTCTCTAGATATGCTAAAAGATAAATAAGGAAAGATATTAAAAATATTATAAGTTAAATAACACATGTAGAAGTCTATATTTTATTACAACTGAATCTTCTTTTAATAGATTATCTCTTATCCAAACTAGCGCAATTTAACGTCGTTTAATCACACGAGGAATCCGTATTTTGCAAGTCGCAATGAGAGGAATGCGCAATATTCCCGCCTTTGATCTTTGCATTTATTTCGTATCTCTACTCGCGCCCTTTCTCTATTATCTTTATTTTCGGACCATTACCGACGGTCTATTATAATAAGAATTCGTGGTATTCACAGTATTTTCCGAAAGCCAAAAGAGAAGTGTAACTGAGGCGATGATTCTAAATTTTACATCTAAATTGAATCCCCTAAGTGAGACGGTGGGATCGTCGTTCCCTCTTGGCGCAAGGGTGGTGAGGGTGCGGGAGAGTGGTTGCCCGGTTATTACCGGGGGAAGTAAGAGCCCGAATAATATCGTCCCGATAACCGATTTCCTCGCGAAGTTAATTATTGAACCGTCATCATGACTTACGACCGAAACGTAGTAGATTGGCGCCCGTAACTCCGTAACCGGCGTGCCTCAAGTACGCCTTATCTTAACCGTGATAGATACCTACTTACAGATACTTTCCAAGACGAATAAATCAAACAGAGATCAGATCCAAGAGATACTGTCGAGCAAATGATCGACCGTAGTGATCTATAAATTCCTCGCGAGATGACTCGACTCTTGGCGCGGACGCGAAAGTTTTGGTAAACCGAGGACACCATCTCGCGGCTTACCTCGCTCGCCTTTGTAGCGCGTAACATCGGGCAAACTCACTTTTATGCAATCGCACGAGCAAGGAAATGAGTTTTCGTCTCTAAAGTTAAGAGTTAAAAAGACGCAAATGACGTTGCACGCTTATTTATCTTCGTGGATAAAACGGTGAACGGAAATTCTATTTTTCTTTTTCTTTTTTTATTTTTTTTTGTAATCGTGGTCGCTTTCATCGGTCTCATAACCAATGTATTCATTGTATTAATGTATTCCAAACAAACTTATCCAGTTAGCTTTATCAAAATTAAAGACACCACGTGATAGAGAATTAAGATAGTTACATCGTCGTAAAGTTCGCCTTAACTTGGAACAAAGTGTGAAGAGTTCTAAGAGATTTCAGAGAAATTAATTATGATTTTGAAATATGCATATTCATCGTCCGTAAGATACGTCCTTTAGCTTCGCTTCAAGTTTATGCAACACATACGAACATTCCCAGGGCATCTTTTACGACGACATTCTACCACATCAACACGAGTATGGCAGCGAATGGTGTTCACTTTTCAGCATGTGTACCACTTGATATTGCTTATAATGGGCGAATTCGGGGAGGAGGAGGTTCAAAATTCCCTGAAATTTATGATTAAAAGTGATGATGTTACTATAATATATTATATCGTATATTATATATCAATGTATAATAAATGGCAGCAATTTTGCTGACACCTCGCCTTTTACTGGTATAATAAATTGTTATTAAAATTGACAAAATCTAATATTTTCTTTATTTAAAATCAGGAATGAAAAGGAGACATTCTATACTCTAAAATATCCACAAAAAAAATTAACACAAAAATTGCTGTTTATGTGATTAAATTAATAATCCTCCTCTCCCCAAAATCTTACGCTTATGGTGCTCCAATATTGCGAGTATTATTGCTCTTTTTACGTAATAATCTCGTATCGCTTTATATCATGCTTTATAAGTTGTTCTTATCAAGTATATGGCAAGAAATAGATAAACAATAGATATAGAATAAAAATACAATATAGACATAAACATAGATATACGATAAGATATATAATAAAAAAGAAAGAAAATTGCTGTGCACTTAGAAAAAGACGTACAATAATTTCTCGATGGAAATATTGTTTATCCTTACACATTAATATATAATTTCACGATACGCATATTCAAATAAATATCTACATACATTTTACACACATTAAGCTATTGACTCAACCATATCCGTTAGAAAATATTTGCATGTTGTTACAAGATGAAACTTGGCTGTCGCAATTTGCAATTACTGGAAGCAAATTAAAGCATCCAGCGACGCGTAAGATACACGGGAAAAGTTTTGCACACCGTCTCGTTAACATCTCGCTGCGGAATTCAAATTCCGCACAATTCGCGGGAACTGTGTCAAGTGCGCGTACAAAGCAATCGTCGGTGTACCACGTGCACTGGGCAATGCCGCGGGGCATCGTGCCATTTAAAAAGCTAACAGGGGTGAGTTTACAATATGTCTTAACGTGGTCAACCGCACTGGAATTATTGTTTTACTCGCTTTTGCCCGCGCGAAAGCTTGCGGCCACCTCGTATTTTTTCTACCTGCAAACAAATCCGTACCTTTCGAAGGCTTCGCGCCTTTTCCCGCACGGCTTTTCCGTTGTGCACCTGCCAACGGAACAGTTTGCCCACTGGCACAATTCCCACCCACACAGCTGGTCGTGCCATGGGTGGCCTATTCTATATTAAACAGTATGGTAATACACCTACCGGGCGAAAAATGAGTAACAAGGATATCCGAGCACTGCCTTGTTATTATGCAATAACTTACCACCCTTTCCTACGCCCTCCTTTCAACTCTCCCCGTAACCCATTCCTCTCTCGCGCGAGCACAACGTATATTCCTTGCTGGCTACGTAAAGCAAAGAAGAGAATACGGTCTAATGTATTTTATGAGGCAAGCAACGTCTCTATCATATTGTCGACTGAATATGCATGCGAGCCATGCATGCACAACGCGTAATCATGAATGTATGTTGAATGATGATGCAAATAATGTAATTCGACGTTCTGAAAAAAAGCGAAGGACGTTGCTTTGCAAACATAGTTACAGGCTTAAGGCTAAAGACAGGATTTTTGTTGGCACTCTCACAATAGTTAGTATTTTAAGTGTCGTACATTGAAAAAAAGAGTCTGATAATAGCTAAAGGTTCAGTGAAATAATTCCAGTCAAATGTTCGGTTATGTAATTATAGCCAAAAATAATATTACTTTTTTAAATATTTAATAGTAAGTATTATTAAACGGTTGATTCATTATTATATTTAATACTTGCTAAATATTTATTTAGAAAAATAAAATCATTTTATTGAAATAAAATATATCATGTTATATCATTTGATTGAAATTATTTCATTCAACATTTGGTAACTATTACTAAAGTCTGTGTGGGTGTTTTAATTTACTCCTAGTAATTGCAAATTGCAACAGTCAAAGGAGTCCGCACTTCTTATGAAGAATTAAATTGAGTAAATTTTTGATATGTGGTTGCTTTTATGATGCTGATCTCAAAGGACATAAAAACAGAAAAGCTCAACCCTTACGATTATTACTTAATGATCTGGATATAATAATGTATAAGGATCATTAAAAAACTATTAGTTGCTCTTTTTTAGACTAGGCCCTTTTAGGTTTTGTTTTGTTAAAAAGGTCCGAAAGAAGATTGGAAGATTACAGAAAAGATCTAAAAAAAATACAAAAGAGAAATTAGTAATTTTAGAGTAAAAAAAACACAATTAATTTTTGTAAAATACACAGTTTTAAACTATTTAGGGCTAACCGTAAAAATTGAGCTTTTCTGAAATCATGTTCATTAAAATTTTTTATTAGCTTATATCATAAATCACATACCTACTAAAAATTTAACCAATTTGACAAAAGCCGTTTTCTTCATACAAAGTGCCTGGGATTACTTTATTTTGAAACATGTGCAAGGTTAATTGTTACGATAATCATTGATGACCGAACGAGATGCACGCGATTTCTTTAGAAGATCTGCGCGAGCGAGTTATCCCGCAGCGATTAGCGTTGACAACCAACTCCAAAGAAACTCTATTATTTATAGTAGACGTCTGCGTAATTTCGATAAACTCTTGACTGCGCGTAAATCCTGCTACAGAATTTATCCGTATGACGAATGCACGAATACACTTGCTCGTTGTTAGTGCGCCGCGTGCTTCTCTTATCGATGCACGCAACTGCAACTAACGGAACGATCAAGATCTCCGCGCGAATACTTTAAGCGCCCATGTCGTGCCGGCACGTGTGATTTGCACTCGAAAAATGGAAGTTAACCGGCTTAAGGAGTTCTCTGAGCTTCGTTGCGCGACCCGGGAAATCGCTCGCTTTTACCGTGTAACGCGACACGTCTCTCACTCCTTTAATGAGCGAATTAAAAAGCGTTACGGATGCGTGGCCGACGTATTCGCGCGGCAGGTGCTTAACAATTGCCGCTCGAGAACTTGTTTAAGTCGGTAATCCCTCAGTTGGCTCTTATCTATTCACAAATTCCGGCCCTCATTACGGCCTATCGCGATTTAATAAAGGGGGAAGTTAGGTAAACGAAAGCCTTTAAGTGTAATTGCCGGCTCGGGCAACGCGATAGCCCGCTATCTCTAATAATACGACTGTCGTGTATCAAAGTTGTTGCGCACGAGAAGCGATTTCGATCTCGAGGGATCTCTGACGACCTGACGAGCGCCTAGACCTATGCGCCATCAGATCGTCGAGGGTAAGTGTATCTCGTGGTTATGTCAAGACTACCCTGTAACGACCCGAACGATCCTGGTCATTTAATGCGGGCTTACTTTGCCTTGTCTCCTTCATTGAGTCCAACGGCTCTGATGGAATTCGCATCAGAGTAAGTAGTAATTTCCCGAACGGCGGGGATAATTGAACAATTACGTACGATGCCGCGCTTTCAGCCGAGATCTTCGCGCGCGCGAATCGTCTCTGCGAATAGATCGATTAAGCGAAAGAGGAAGGCGAGGAGAGAGAGAGGCGAAAACGATTTCAACGAAGAAGCCGGAGAAATCGAGAGTTGGAGCGAAAAGTTAGAGGGAGACAGAAAGAGAAAAGGAGAAAGAGAGAAAAAGAGTGAGAGGGAGTAAGATAGAGAGAGAGTTACGAAAGCGTGAGAGCAATTAAAAAGTTTGATTACCTTACGACGAGTCATGTTGAACTCACGACTGCATCCCTTGCATTGGGTGACCATCCGATCATTTGCCCAGGTTACCAAACCCTCTTGCAGTGCCGACTGCTGCTGAGCATTGTCAGCGGCTTCGCGCAATTCGGCGGCCGCTAATTTGGCAGTGCTCAATTGTCCCCCAAGTTCCTCTAGAGTTCGTTCCTGCTCACCGCACACCTCCTTTAGGGCGTAATACTCTTCCTGCAGCGTCAAGTATCTCTGGAACAACCATAATTGTGATTATCTAGCAAGTATATATTCATTGTCGCGAAGTATAAATCGATTCGCTGCTAAAATGGGAGTTGAATATATGGATGTAAAAATATAAAAAAAAATTATTTTACTAAAGTAAAAATTTAGCTAGATACAGATTTAAATAATTTCAATGCATTAGCAAATAATTATAAAATGTATGAACATTAATGACAATAGTGCAAAAAGTTTTAATATTCTAGCAATTCTAGTAACCAATTTAAGCGCCCTACTTATTTTAATGATCCAACCAGTTATTTTCAGATTTATATATATCTAGTTAATTTTTTTAATATTTCAGTAAAACTGTTCTTTTCTAGTACGTATCTTCGATGATATCTATTTGAATCGATGTTCGAAATGTGCACGCAAAATTTAAATAAATTTTGTTCCTCTTTACTATGTTTTTATATTCGATCAAAGGGATCTTATTCCTAACAATATTTTTATGTAAATTTTACAATTTCCAATTTAAACAAACTACGCACAGATTGCTTGTCGATCCTTTTCAAATTCATTTTAATTATTCTTATATGTTACAAAGAAATAACAAAGGAATATGTTTTTGTATGTTTCATATCCGGGAAAATTTTACAACAGCTTAGCGCACTGTGACTTCTTTACAATTTTGTATTCAACGTCACTGAGAATACCTATTATAATTTTATATTCCATATATTAACTATGATCATTATAATTAAATATATACCCAATGAATGTTACTGTCTTACGTTCGAATTAGAAAGAGACAGAGAAAATTAACTTATTTTTTTATCATAGAACTGTCAAATAACCCGTGATACTTTAAGAATCTGTAGAAATGAAAATTCAGTAGTTGAAATAAATTTCATTAATCTATTCCAGGACGACAGCGCCGCGCCGTCGCACTTACTGTCGGTTCTATTATCGAAAGGCGGATAAATCTCCGTTCCAGTGTGCCGATTGAATTAGGTACGGGCTTATAATCCAGGTTTCGGGGATGAGATTTAAATAGAAAGATCGGATCGCAGTTCCGTGAAGCTCACCGTTGTCTGAACTTACGAGTTCGGCACGACGATAATGGCGATATCGTGAGATTTATTCGCCGCGGGTACGCTTAAAAGGCAATACAGATCGCACGTGGATACGTACCTCGGACACCCGTTTCAGCTGATCGATTTCCTGATGTAATTGAGAGATCTTCTCCGTGTTACAGATCGATGTTTCCTGTAAGGAGGTTCTCCACTCGCGCTCAAGTTGCAATTCCCTCTCGACCCCATTCGTCCGCGCTTCCCGCTCTGCAGCCTCGGCACCCAGAATCCTCACCTTCTCCTCTGCCCCCGATCTGACACCATCCATCTCCTTGCACCTGATTAAGTCAAATCGGTGGTACTTAAACGTCGAAGTTTTATAAAAACTCGTGTCTACACCGCTCGAAGCTATTTTATTCAATTGGTTCAACAATCTTTAACTCGTATCTCGCTCCAGGATTAACTCGGGATTTTAAAATAAGTATAATGACGTGTGATGGTTATATCTAGATGAAGACCCTGTTCGTTTATTAAAAAAAACTTATTAAAAAATTGAATGATATGAATAGTCTCATATATCATATTTATTGTCAAGAAATGATTTTTAAATTGTGATTCATTATTTATGCCTTCTTATCAGTAAAAAATAAGATAATAATTGTATTTGTATTATGATTTGTTGAATTAAACTTAAATAAAAAAAAAACGTATTTATTATTTAATTAAGAATTATATTATACATATCGTGTAAATATATTATACACAAATGAAAGTGTATTCTCAAAATGTATTTAAGGAACTGTTTTACGACAGTATTACAAAAAAAATAAGAAAAAATTAATACAAACTCACATAAAATGGTAAAATCCTATCATTTCCTTTTTTATCTCAAAAAATAGAACAAAAGAAATAAAAGTATCAAATAGTGATAAATCTACAAATATAATCAAATCAATATCAGAACAATATTACAAGTGTTAATTCTCTCCGAAAATTTACATTTTATTTAATACTACATTTTAATTATACGTTTAATTATAATGTAAGTGCGTGTGTGTGTGTGTGTGTGTGTGTGTGTGTGTGTGTGTGAATTCATAAGTATGTATTGCATTGGCCACGTATTTACATCAACGTAAAAATGTATATTATACTTTTATAATCTTAATATACAAATAAGTTGATTAAAACAATAAGGCTGTTGAATTTATATAATTTATTTGATAGTATGTTATGCATAAAATACTATTATTATGCTGAATACATATAACTTACCTCATGTTATCGTATAAACAATAATTATATAACAATAAAAAAAAAGAGAAAACTTTATTCAGCAATTTAAAAAATCACAAAAATTTTATTCAATCGTGGCATTTTAATTTAATTGGCGATGACTCTGGGATAAACAAACTCACACTCTCTTCTGTCATAAATTTATTTTCGAAGTGTTGTACAAGCACACGTATCAGAGTGCGTTATCATTTCCACTGCGCGAGACTTATATAAGTACGTAAGTATATCAATAATATAGATATGGCACGTTTAATTAATCACTATCAAGTATTTTACTTCCAATAAGAAAGTAACGCTATCATCTTGAAAAAATGTCTTGCATGTGTAAGTGTATCGATTACAGATGTTATATAATATAACAATTTACGTAAAGCTAATTTCATATGTCAATGTTGAATAAAGAAGGAATGATTCGGTGACAAGAACGATCGTGAATCAGTTCCTTAAAAACGATTATCATAAATAAGAGTAAGCGTTTTATTTTAAGTTACAAAGAAATTTACAGAAATTTATATCTTCCTAAGAAATAATATCAGACGAAAATGCATCGACATATAGAAAAGTTAATTTTTATTCATCTAAAAATCATAAGTATGGAGAAATGATAAATGAAATCGATGAAATATTCGTTAATATTACTTTTCCCGTTTAACAACATTAATAAAGTTTATTATTATAATTATGTGATGATATATAAATTTATCGATTATATTGCAAAAAGTTTTTAAAATATGTCTTGTCAATATTAACAACTACGTATTGATATAACTGTTTAGAGTAGCCATTTATGAATGAAGTTTGCCAATATCCCCGTGACGATAAGATTTCATTTAATCCTAGAGCTTTGCGAGTCTTTAATCTATTCTACCTAAATATCATCGCGTCTGCGACATCTAAGTAAAAAATAAATCATTTGCAGCTAGAGCTGTCCATTTATTTGCGTGCGTGCTTCATTTAAATATTGGTAGTATGTCTATTCGCATACCAAAATACTGTATAACGACAGCTGAGATAAGAAAATTTTTTCATAACAACTATATTTGTACGTAAATAATGCCTGCTAAAAGTTTAGTAATATAAAGTTTAGTAATATAAGTTTAGTAATATAAAAACATTTTCAATACTTTTTTCAGATGTAAATAATATTACACGAGAAATTTGATGGAAAAAAAGTCTTTACGCACCTCAAATGTCACATTTTGTTGAACAATATCAATTCAACTAAAATTTTAAAGCATATAAGAAATGCAAATATTAGCCCTTTTTTATTTTTACGATGATAAATGACTTTTGTATAACTAGAAAAGGCTACGCTTTTTCATGCGCTAAATTTTAAATCTACATAGATTTATTAAAGATGGAGCAACAAAATATTTTAAATATACATCAAAAAAAGTTTGGTATAATTTAAATATTCGACATGTTAAAAAAATTGCTGATTACAATGATAATATAACAGAGAATAAAATATTCTGAAATGGAAAAATAACTTATTTACAATAAAAAATGTAGGGCCGTTTCCTGAAATATACGTGCATCTTTACTCCATTTTATAAATGGAATGAAAATGAGCTTTTGCTAAATTTTTGATAACAAACACATAATATTTTTGTACAAAAAACGATGACATTAAAGCACCAACAGATAAAGCAGTATTGATCAAACTAACTCCGCCACTTCATTTATATATATCACATAGAAACCCTACATTAGAAATCCATGATCCTGTGAAACGAGAAACTAGCTTACCAATATACCTTTCAGTTAATTAATCAGATAAGATGTTTAGCAAAAAATATGTTAACGCCTTAGTACAAAAACCCAATAATAAAGAGCAAAACATTTTTTTATGCGTAGTTATTATATTAAAGACTACGCGCTATTTTTATTTCCGAGTATGCGCATGATTAAATTGCACTTATAAGTTAATTAACACTAATGAAAGACAAATAAACATACTTCTCATCCATTTTCTGGATGGTCTCACTCATCGACAGCGTTTTAGCTTCCAGCTTTGTAATCAGTTCTGTCTTATGCTTAAGTGAGCCTTCGCACTCCTGAAATAAATATTTATTGAGTACAGGCGAAAGAGATATACAATTATGATTGCCCAAATTTCTAAGTCAATCTGGAATAGCAATATGATATATATTAAATTGGAAATAATTTCCACAATAATTAGGCATGTAATGATACAAGAAATTTGTCATATGTAGAATATATGATATTTTTGCAAATATGATGTAACGAAATGGAATCTCCAGATTTCTTAAATCTGTATAGTTTTATAAATAAATTTGTCTTGCATTTGTCTATAATATCATGAATGATGAAGAATATACATAACAAAAGTATATATTTAAAAAATCTTAGATTTCAAATTTACATTATAATTTTTAATAAGTTTCTTATTACAGTAACAAATAAATAATTTATATTAAATACAATACATATTACGGAAAATTATTTTTTCTCTCTTTATACATTAATATTGCAAATATATTGACAAATTTTTCAAGACGCTCCATATATCACAATCAAAATTAGTTAATTAGAAAATTATGCTCGATTATTTTTAAAAAAATTTTTTTAAATAATATATTAGAATATATATATATATGTATATATAGAGCGGCTGCTCAAAGTTTGCAGGCCAATGAATAGTTTTATTGCTTAGATAAAGAATCTTTACAAATAAAGCTCTATAAATACCTTGAATATATTCTAATATTTAAAATATCATATGCCTAAGTTGATTAGAATGAGAATTTCATTAACTTAACATATATAAATGGAAAAACAGATTGACAAAAATTATCATAAAATTATACTATATGTTGGTCAAAAGTTTTTGGCAGCCACTTTATAATGCAATATTATAGAGACTTTAATAAGAATTATTGTCTTAAACGTAACAACCTATCGGATTAAAGCATCGGCAATTCGATCCAGTACCTCAAAAAAGTGTGCTAAATCATTTCGTTACATCATAGTAAATATTATCGTAGTAATTATTGCATTTGATAACATAACGTCAATTAATCTTCGAAAGTGGCACTGAATAAGTGTATACGACAATATGCTATGCGCGAAATACAGGTGGAAATCAGGCAAAATAATTTTGCACGACTCTGTAGGGTATACATATAAAAAATGTACGCCTCGCGTGCAGCACTGAATAGCGATATCCGAAGTGTCAAGATCCGCTGTGAAATTAATCGTTTAAGGGTAGGCTGTCTCTATTCTTTCGCAACTTGCTCGGTCGTTGAACTATTCATGGAAATCTCGGAGGTAGAACGACTTTGTTTCAATTTGTCATTAGAGGCTGTCGCCGGCTGCTCGTCAAGAGAGCGTTGATGATCGACCATCGACCGAGAGGTCGCATTCTCCGTGGGTGGGCAACCCCTCGGGGTAGTGGGGTTAGTCTTATTAAGAATAGATTTCGATACGCCACCCGGAGTGGTGGGGCTCCGTATACCTTCTCCATCCTTCATCAAATGATTATACTTCTCGAGATTGTTAAGGATTTTGCCGATCTGATTAGTCTTCGCGTGAAGACGGCTCACCATCTCGCCCTTCTGTGTCAGTTCATGCTCACACTCCTACAAGGGAAACACGTCCAGAAACGGAGAATTTACGTCGAATTTACGCCGAAATCTTCTCCGAAAAGAAAAGATACCGGCGAAATAAAAATTCCCATCATTGTCAGCTCACATCCATAAAAAAAGCACCTAAATACCGCTAATGTAATAATAACCTATTTTGCATAAAGGATAATTTAGCTATTCATTAACAGGCTGCAATATTAATAAATAGGAAAAATATCAATAAAATGCGGAAAAATATAAAGCAGGTTATTGTTTCCGTGCTACAACTAATAATCTTATTTCAGAGTAAATCTTATGATTAAAAATTTTAGAAACAGTAAATTATATAAAGAACGTTCCGCGATACAGTATACTTGTCTATATTAAATATCACATATATTTAATAAGAAATATTATTTATAAAAATATATATAAAAAACAATTTTATTATAAGTAATTAAATAAATGATTAAATATTTCCTAATTAAAATAAAACAAATTTATTAAAAGAAAGTTATTATAACATATTATAAACACATTTTCTCTTTCTGTCTCTCTCTCTCTCTCTCTCTCTCTCTCTCTCTCTCTCTCTTTCTCTCTCTTTCTCTCTCTCTCCTCTCTCCTTTTTTACATAAAGTTTAATAAAATAATTAATTAGATAAAGTACAAGTAGACTATATCACGGGATTAAAAAAGTATATAAGAATAGACTTGCAAATTACACCACCTGCAACTTTTTGTACATTTCCAAGTTGATTAATTTGATATCCTCCAGCTGACGCCTTAAAGATATTATAGTATCCTGTTTCTCATGTATATCCTTCTCTAACAACTTCATAGCTACTTCCATTTCAGATTTCATGCTAATCTATATAAAAAAAGATAAAAATACTTATCATAATCACTATTTTTCTTTACTTAACTTTATAAATTTATAGCGTTGTAGGAAAGTATTAAGAGTTGTAATATTCTATTCATGTAAAGATACAGAAAAAAATATAAAACAATACTGATTTTTATTAACCTGTAATTCTAGTTCTTTCTCTAGATCTTGTCGTGATTTTTTTTCAGATTCTATTCTGCATCTAAGTTCTTCAATTTCAGCAGTCGTTTCTGTTATTTTAAGAGGTATTTTTCCATTCTGAAATTAAATCAATCGTTCAGTAATACGTCAATCTGTACGTAACACGAAATTTTGATTGCGTGAATACCTCGTTTGCATCTTTAACTTCAATACCAAGTTCTTTTTTTAATTGTCTATTCTCTTCTTGAAGCGATAAAATATTATTTTTAGCAATAGCAAGATCTTCTTTCATAAGAGCATTTGTTGTCGTCAGAGATTCTACTTTAGCTTGGAGATTCGTTACTGTTGCACTAAAAATGACAGAAGAAATGTCAAAAAATTGTATAATAATATTTGTATGTATGCGCAATATTTTGTTTAAAATTCGTGAAATAAATGTTTACTTTAAATGTCGATTAAGTTCTTCGATATAATTCTTTTGATCAAGCACTGTGGTCATATTGTCGGTTTCGAGTTCATCATCTGGCGATTCACCAGGTATATGATTACTATTGCGTAGATATAGTGAAAAGTCGATTACGCCCTGCTGGCAATCGAGATCTTCTTCCTGTCGCAACAGTTACAATCGATCTTGAGTTAATGTCATTATCACTTCAATTAAACGCAATCTTGCACACTTTCACGTATGTGAAAGACGCGACAATAATCCAAACTGACCTTTACACAGAAGTTGCAATCGATCACATTTAAGCCCACTAACAAACCCATTACTACGATTGCCTCTTCGCTCATCATCAGAGCATCTGGTTCAAAGTATTCGGACAAAATATCATCTTTGTGATCTATCAGAACTTTGAGATAATCTGCTAATTTCTTTTGCATCAATGCCATACGCAGCCAAGCCCGCGCCCTACCCATAGCCGTCCTAAAAATGGTAGCGATTTCAAAATATTATATCCCAGACTTGATAATTACAAAAAAAACCGATGAAAATGTTAAATTAATTTAAATTCTAAAATTATTAAATATAATTATACTGCTAAAGAAGCAAAAATAAAAAAAATAATTTTAATAATAAAGAATTTTTTTAAAAATTCTAAGAAAAATTCTTTGAGAAAGTCTAAACGCTCCATCATTGATTAATATAAACTGTACCGATAACGTTTTAACAAAAAATCCTAACATAAAATATTACATACATATTTCATTTTATCGTAGATAAAATATAAGCTATACATCTTGTTAATTAATGGGACAAGTTCAAGATAGATATAAATCACATTCTGAGAATAAAAATATGCAGTACCTAACAGTAGGTAAATCACGAATGCTGGACGTAATATCTTGTGCTTCAGGACAATATTTCTCTACAAGCTGAAGAATATCCCATAGCTCCTTTTTGGGTCCGAGAAGACCCTGAAATCGGAGACCTGTTAGTATCAGGTTGTAAAAATTACTCCCTTGTCTGCACGAACGGCATTAAATTTTACCTTCTTCGGCCGTAAACCATGCCTAAGCACATGTTCAAGGACGATGAAAAAATGTTGCAATGGCATATGATCAGAATCGAGCATACGACCATATTTCAAGGATGTTTCGATCAGCTCCTTGACGATTAGTTTCGAAATGTTAACGAGATTACTCCTCTCGATGATGACTGGATCTCGTGCTGCAAAAACAATATGCGTGTGTTCTAACTTGCAGTATGATCTCAATTAATTTCCCTCGTTAAAAGTAACTTCAAATTCGACGGCAAGTATCTAATCCTGAATATATAAATATCCTTAACTAAAATCACAATGTGTCACTTAAAATGCGTCGTAAAAATGATTGCATAGCATTTGTGCATTAATTTTATGATTTCATACTTTTTATAATAAATAAAATATAAATAAAGAAGTGTAATACAATAAGCAAAGATTTGCAACGGTTTGATTATTAAAGAAATGCATTCCAAAGCGCCCACGATAAAGCGTGATAAAGAGGAAAAAATATTTTTTCCATTATAAGCAAGAAAAGCGAAACTTATTCCCGTATAAATGTCACAACACAATTAATCAAATTTTGCTGTGTGAAAAAAAAAACTGATTCAATATCCCTGAATGTATCCTGATAATTAAAACGGGCGAGTGCAGTAACATCCAGTACAGACACAAGCTGGAGACGTGCTGCAATGGCGGTGGACTTGGTGGCATAATATCGCGAAGCTCTCGCTGTTCGGGAAGCTGTTGCTGATGGTGGTGATGGTGATGATGATGATCATGATGATGATTAATACCACTGAGAGCGAGCGGTGGTGAAGGTGACCGCTGCATTGAATCTTGGAGTGAGAATTCGACATCCTGAAGTTCCTTTAAACAGAGCCATTCGCCATCTACCGACACTCGAAAATTGCACAGATATATTGTGTCCTGGGCACCAGCCATATCTTCCTCCAGCATGACCCCGCCGTGATGTATACCACCGTGATCGCCCGGCGGCCGCAATTTAAGACCAGTCAGAGATTCCTGCCGCATAGAAGACGATTCCTCTATCGTCACTATCTCAATCGATCTTGAAGATTTATGTGATATCTTTCAACGCTCGTTCACTATTATATAGACGATTGATTTATACAGATTTTTATTTCCTTCAGTAATAATTTCCATAGATTGAAACAGCTCGTTTTGTTTGTGATAGATCTTTTTTCGTTATTAAAATAATGAATGAATCAGAATTAATAAGCGTTGATTTGTTCGTCCAATATCTTTTTTTAATCTATGGATCTATTACTTTATAATATTAATTTGTTCAATGCTGCAGTAGAGAATTTTCTTCTTCTTACATCGATCAGCTGATAGAAAAATATGTCGCAATGGATGAGTCACCAGTATAATAATGATGATATATATATATATATATATATATATATATGTATATATATTGCAGTCAGATTTTACGTTGTTGGCACCAACGTAAAAAATTTGTATATGTTAATTGTATTGCTGTTTCTTGATATTTCTTTAGATATTATCGTTCGATCAGCACTGCTTGTTTCTTGAAGGCAAGTAGATGTTGTTTTAAAAGCAATGCTCCAATTAATCTGCAGGTAGCGAAGAGATGGCAATCTCAGCTTAGAAGAAGAAATGATAAACGCGCACTAACGCGACTACATCGTAGTACGATGATATGATTATTTGCTCACAAAGTAGCGCGTGTGCAGGAATCAGCGCACTTATAGAAACAACTTGGAAATCGTACGGATGTCGAGCGAAGAAAATTTCACGTCGAAAATAGCGAGAGCGCCGGCAAAATGTGGATATTGATTTTCCCGCTGACTTTGCCTCCATCTACGATAATCAATACAGGTATCGCTGCGTATTGCTATGTGGTGCTGCCATCACTTTTCTGTATTGCTTTACCGGTATAACAGCACGCAACAATAAGAATAAAATTTGCAAAAATTCTCAAAGAAGAGTAAAATAGTAAAACGAGAGTAAAGAAGATAATTTTCATGTTTCAAAATTTTATTTTGATATTTCGAAAAGATCAATATATACATAATTATATACATAATTATATAAATGATTAGCACTTTAAAATATCTTTTAATATTATTTCATTTTAACTATAATTTTTAACATGTATTCATTATGTCACGTAAAATTAAAGCAGCCATAAATACGGGTTTCTTATGTAGAAAGTTTAACAATATAAATAACTTCTACATTATAATTTTTATATCACATCAATTCACATTAATTACAAAAAAGAAATAGCATTAAAAATATCAGACATCTAAAATTAATACTAAAATTAATATTAACGTACCAAGTGTATTACATAAATATTTAGTCTTCTTTTCTTTTCGTGATTACTCACATGATAGATAATCATACACACAACACATGTCAAGAACACATGTAAGAGATCATTATATTCGACAATACATTATCACTTGATATGTAATTCGCAGAAGTTCGCACGCCGCACAAACAAAGATACAGAAGTTGATAATACATAATAATGTACTATACTGATAAAAAAGTTCACTGAAGCTTACAATACAATTAAGATAGGTCATTGAGATGAAGATGTCACACTTAAGCTTTTATTCTTGAATAACTTCTTAATGTTATTAAATTAACGAACGAAAAATATTATATATATTTTAGCAATCTTTCTTTATTCATACAAATCAATAAATTAAACTTTTGATGTTCCATATTATTAAAAAAAAAATTGATACGTTATATTTTGCAAAAGTGGCATCTTCCATATAGAGTAAAATGCCATCTCCCATGGGAAAAGATGTCACAAACAATTAAATAATGTGATGCAATATAAACTTGCATATTTTATTTATTTATAATCCATAATTAAGGGTTTTAAGATATAAGATTTACTATAATATTTTTACAATTTATTTATAATTAATTTTATTTGAATATGTAATTAAATAATGATGTAAAAATATGATAAATATAACGTAAACTAAATATTACATGAAAAAAATATCAAATAATCAATTTTATTAAAAAAAACCCCTAAAAAATCCCAAAAACCCCAAAAAACCCCCATAAAACAGTGGGTTGAATTTTTTTTTAAAAAGCTCAGGTTTTTTTCAACACTTTAGGAAGTAAGTTGGATATACTTTTATTCGTTTAAACAGCATTTTTTGTGTTTTGTATTTACTATCATCTTATCCCCAAGTGTAAGAGGAATATTCAATTGCAATTTTTACATATATAAGAATATTACAAATTATAATCTACAGGGTGCGTCATTAAAATCCGAATAAATCGAACAATTTCTTTAAACAAAATGTTTATAATGAAAAATTAAATATTACAAAAAAAATCCTTTTACATGGTACTTGGGGGATCCCTGTAGAGCACAAGTATTCGATATATCCCCTATTAGCTTGAATGGCCTCTATTCTCAGTCTAAAGCATTCGCACGCACGCTGTAATGTAGCGTTGTCCATGCCGACGAATGCTGCCTCAATAGCGGTCTTTAATGATGTCACATTGGGATGTCGAGATTTGTTTGTGACCCTTTCAACTACGCTCCATACATACTAGTCCAAGGGATTTAAATCTGGACTGTTGGGAGGCCAGAATAGGAGTCGAAGCGAGCAACTCGGCTTGTCCTGACAGCCTCAGAGAGCATCTGTCGTATCTTTAATGTGTACGATTTGTATCGAAGGTTCTCCTCGGCAATTCGACATTGTTGGCTCGCTTACACCTAACAATCGATACTAATTTTCGCAACGATTGCCCTGGGTCATCCGAAATCAGCTCTTTCTATGACTAGCGGTGCGTTTTTTAGAGTGACTCTTCCTCGCTGGCATACTGGAATCCTTGGTTGAACTGTTCTAAAGCCGTATATTTTGCCACAATGTCATAAATGATTGATCTCGGGTATCCAAAGAATCGAATTATTTCCGTTGCTGAGCACCCAGCGCAAAGGCCTTCGATGATCGCGGCTCTTCGATTATAGTTCGCACTTGGTTGCAACACCGCAGCCATTTTGAGACTATTTATTAGAAGCATCAGACTTTCTCGGATGCCAATAACAACTTCTGGCGGAGGCACAATATAGCACAATATATAAAATTTAAATTAAAATTTGTCCAGATAGTGACGCGCCCTGTATATCATCCACATGACCTCCAAGGAACACTAATTAAAACCGTATATCATTTGCTCGATTTTACGCTAAGCATCGAAATACAGCCCTTAGCTATTAGCATACCAAATATTACAAAGAGCATGTTTCACGATCTACCTTTTCGTATTTCGTATAATTTTTACGAATCGACTTTGGTATGAACATGTTCATCTCTGCCGATAACTGCGCAACTGTTTACCACACGCTTTTGTATAGTCGAGACAGTATGGCAACGCATGTTTTCTATAAAAAAAATTATAAACAAAGTGGCGTCTTCCCCCTTGTGGCATCTTTCTTCGAATTACTTTACATTAATTCAATAAATTTGATTAAATTTGTTACATATAAGAATACTTTCGTATAAAGAAAGATTTATAAATTTTGATATAATTGTAAATTAAATAAAATAAAAATTAAAAATCACACTTAACTAAAAGGGATCTGATTAAATAAGTATTGATTTTTATTGCAAGTGTTATATAATTTAAATAATATATGAACATTTATGATTTCCACTTATATCAATTTACATGTCTTTGTTAATATAAAATTTAATTTATATAGAAAAAATAAATAAAATATAAATTCCCGAAATGAATTACTATTTTTACTCATACTTTTTTTCATATTCTTCAAATTCTCCAAATTAACATTTCATAAAATCGAAGTATATAAGATGAAGGTCAGAATCGAATCCGCCGATTGATCAAGTTTATCTCGCACGGTGCTTCACGTTATACTTCAATTATTTTATTTTATATTATTTATACAATAATATATTTTTTATATTATTTGTAAATATCTGTTGTAAAACTCTCAACACATATAAACAGACACAAGATAGAATTTGCATGTGTGTTACGTGTTACGACAAATAAAAGCACAAATAATTTAAAATAATTATAGAAATTCTTAAAACATATAAGTGCCAGTTGGTATTTTGTAAACTTTTATAGCGTTTGTATCTTTTAACAAAAAATAATTGTAAGAAATTCAAAAATAATTTTGAAAACGCTTGAAAGCAGGATAAAAATCAATTTTTTATTTAAATTATTTTTTTATTTACTCCTTTTCTCTATCTTCAAAAACTTATATAGTGTTGTTAATTTAATATTTAAAGCGTGTTATTTAAAGTCATGATTTAAACTCTTAATCATATTATACAAAATTATAAAAATATATACCACACGATATATTAAAAACTAAGTCTTGTCCCTAACATACAAATTTATAATTTAATATAATTACACAAAAGGAAAATGACGCTATAATTCGTGCAATAAGAAAAGTGCAATTGCTTGTAGCTTCATTGTCATATGTATCTGACAATTACGTAATTATTGAAACACGTGTTATCTATAGAATTTATACAACGTCTCTAGCTGACAGAACGATCGTCAATGAAGAAATAATAATAATGGCGAGACACGTGGGCGCATAGTATGTCCACGCACGCTTAACACGCGGGCGCCAAGCTGAGCCCGAGAGCGCCGGACTTTTAAAAAGCGCGCCGAATCATGGGACCATGCAACCATCGGGCTATGTACTCACGTCTCGGCAACCACCAGGCATCGAGTTTTCTGGGTCTGGACACGACGAGATCGGGCCATTTGTCCTCCCGTATGGAATAACTTGATGGCGAACGTGAGACACTTTTTTCGTTTTCGTCGGACGCGAGGCTACCGGTGAGCGATTTCTCGGACGGGGATATTGGCAAACCGTCGCCACTCTCTGCGGCCATGTTTACGTTCCCACTGTCGACTAACGGCGCATTCATCACACAGAAACGTTCATGTACGTATACGCGCGCGTAAATGTATTTGTATTTCTCTGTTACGGCGGCGAGTAGTGCGAGGTAGGCCGCGCGTTATTCCTTTTGCCAACACGTGGTAAGAATTCTCGTCACGCAGCACACTCACGCCTACATCAGATTCTGCCGGATAAACATGGAAATCAGAGTAACGTGACAGAATTGAAACAAATGTAGCGATAAGTCTGCCATTGAGCTTCTTGGACTCTTGCCGAATGATTGAGAATATTAAGGCTTACAATGGAATCAAGAAATGATATAAAAATTATGATATATTGGCAATATAGTCGCAACCTTGTGTTGACTT